GCTCAATGCCACAATCTGAGATCATTCCTGGAAAGCATAATCTCTATCATAAAAACCAAATTTTGAGATCATATATACAGAGTATGCAATATAAAGGGGTAGGCTTACTAGGATTTGTTTGCAAAACAATTGGAGGACTTTCTAAAATCATTTTAATAATTATATGTGATATTATATAAAACTTAGGATTATGATAACAAAGGCTTTCAACTTTTCAAAAAGAATATGATTCTAAATTTATAATTAAATTTAATAATCAAAGTTCAAAACTCAAAGTCAGATCAAGCATGAAAAAAAATTCTATGCTTCAAAGGCCTTATCACTAACCTAAACTATTGGATTAAAAAGAAAGGAAAGAACCGAAAAGAAAAGGGACAGAAGGACAGAGAATTATCTTCCTTCAGTAAATGAAAATATCTGAAGCTCATAATAAGATGAATAGCTGAAAACTGATTTCAATTTTAACTCCTAAACATTATTCTCTTATGATACCTCCATATTGACAACTAGTTACACTGCCAATAAGTCAAAAAGCATAATGCAGAATATCAATTGATTACAGCCAACAAGCTTTTTCATGGTTGGAAAGACTTCAACATTCTCAAGTTCAAGAAGAGTGACATTTTCTAGTATGACATGTCTTTCTTTACTAATTAGAGACTGTTTTCTATTACAGATAGTGAAATGCTCTATATGACCATGTGTGGAAAAAGGCGTGGAAATGTATGGCTGCACAGAAAAATCCCATAAGACTAAATTTTGCAAATAAAATAAGTGTCCACATATGATGCGTATATCTATAACTTGTTTGTCAAGCGCGCAACAGGCATGTAGTAAGTCATATATTCAAATTATTCTCTGAACTACTTGCAATGGGATAGAACACTCACCTTCACTGATAATATGTTGTCAGTGAGCTTCAATGAACAACACTGAGAATGTTCACTAATTTCTATCAGCTTCCAGTTCTTGGATTTCTCGATTGACTTGTGAACGATTCTAGATTTAACATCTTCCACACTCTGACTGTTAACATTCTGCTGCAAATATTAAAGAAACCAATACCCTTGTAAGCAAAAACTGACAGCAAGGTTATGAGCACATCTCTAAGAAATCTAACCAAAAAAGTTATTTAAAAAACTGAACTAGAGTATGATTACAGGAAACATGAGTATTGAATTACCAATCTAACGATTGATGTCATTGGAGCACTTCCATCAGGAGCTGCAGAATTAGTTCCGACCATAGCACTGACAGTAGCAGGGGACCTAATTGAGCTTGTCTGCTACATAAATCTAACAGTTACACTGACGGACTAAGACAGGAGTTACAGTACAAATGATGAAAAAAATTCTTTTTAATAGTTAAAAATCCTAAAACAGTTTGTAAGAATGTTCTTAAGTAAGCTACCTTTGCAATGGCCTCTTGAAACCCATCATCATTTGCCAAAATTTTTATAGAGTTACCACATGTTGATACAGCTAAAAATGAACCAAGTTTATTAAATCGAATGCGTGGGCAGGCCTGAAATTATTAGAAATCAGAACGTATGAGATTTTCTTGTTTAGCAGCAGTTTACTGATATAGCAATACAGAAAACCAAATAAAGTAATTACAGTCAATCCTCCCAATGCATCAGTGGTTGCCAAGAGGTTAATATTGTCCATGTCCCAGAACTTGATCATAAAGTCATCTCCGGCAGCTAAAAATCGGTTTTTTGTAGTATCAAATTGTACCACGCCCAAGGAACTTCTCCGAGAACCAACAAATGATTGTTTCACGGATCCTTTGTTCTCATCCCATTCAACAATATATGAATCCCCTTCCTTACTGGTACCACAAGAGAACAGCCTATATATGAAAACATATCCCCATTAAAGTTGTTACCCAGATGAAGGAAATGTTTCAATAATTCTACTAAGAACAATACATGTATACCTTGTTCCGTCAGCACTGTATGCCATAGTCGTACACCAGCGACCTGGAGCTGTATAATCAAACTGGGAACACTCATTCCCATATTGCCATATTTTTACCTCACCATCAAGTGAAACAGAAAGGATAAACTGAAAAAATAGAATGGGAAGAATTCACTTTATCTTATGATTGCTAGACAAGAAGTTCTAGAACAAATCACAAATATGAAAAATGTCAATGAAAAAACGGACAGAAATTGCTTACAAGTTATTGACAAAAAAATAATAATATAATGTCTGAATGAGATGATACCGGAATATTTTCTTTTGAGTGTGAGCATATGGAATATACTGGCGCTTCATGACCTTCAAAAGTATATTGAAGATCACCAGTAATAGTGTCCCAAACCTGAAGTGACAGTATTGTTAAGAAGAACATGTTAATCATTATTGTCAACAATACAATACTTACCTTAATAAGCTTGTCATCTCCACAGGTCACTACACAGGACTTCTTATTTGGCTGAGAGAAAGCAATGTCATTAACTCCACCAGCATGAGCATCAATCTTAACCATGAAGTTTTAACAAAACCACAATAAGCATCCAGGATGGATAGTAGAATATTAAATTGAGCACAGGGAGCAACAAATGAGGAACAAATAATTACCAGGAGCAAATAATTAGCGTGAGGGCAAAATAACTAGTTGCTCAATATTACCTCTAAATGGTTAACAAGTTCACTACTCTTGTATTTATACAAGTGCATAAGACGCTCGGAGTATGCAACACCTGTCAAGGTGCAGAGCATCACATTAAATTGTCATGCACCACAGTATTTTCCCTTTTTTCCCTTTGATAATTGCTACTCTACCATCATATGAAGAGTAAATTGACAAAACAAAGGAATTTTTTTTTTTTTTTGAACTTACCAAATTGACTCCCATCAGCATCCCATAATACACGCTTAACAGATATCAACTGCTTACCATAAAATCCAAGGATCTGTGATCAATACAAGAAAAGGTCATGAGAAACACAAGAGCACCACACCCTTCCAGATTACCTGTATAATCTTTGAACAAGCTGGAAGTTCCCAAACTTTAGGAGCTCTATGAGCCAGCCTCTTACTGAGGGATACATCCCAGACAGCAATGTCACCAACACTGGTTCCAACTGAAAGAAGAAGTCTTTTCAAGCTAAATCCGGCAAAGAGAGGACTCAAGTAAACAAGGTTGTATAACCGCATACACTCGAACCTAGAAGAATGCTGTTCTGAGAAGGATGAAAATCCATGCTCGTGACGGAAGAACCCTGCTTCAGAACAAAAAGTACCTTTCTTGGAAGCTCTTTAATAGAGCATGGATTCTGTTGGATATTGGCGCGCCGTTCCGACAATATCTGTAAAGAGATTTTCAGCAACATGAACATCAGGGTGTGTGTGTATATGTGAGAATGCCATGGGCTGTGAAGAGCACCCAGGAGATTGTTGAATATATTTTTTTATTTTCTCACATGGGCTGCCGCCCATGTTTTCTTTAAATTTTTCAAAAGTGGTGGGCCCCACAGAAGAAAAATTTAGACGTGGGTCCCACATGCATAGTAAAATAATATTATTTTATTAGTGCATAGTATTTTTCCAAACGCTATAAATAGACCCCAAATCCTTAAGAAAAATTCATTCCAAAAACAACAATCAATATATACAGATATAGATTGTAAAATAGCTGGTGCTTATAGGAATTTTGCCTGATAGATCGAGGAGATCTTTGCCTGATAGATCGAGGAGATCTTTGCTTATAGATCGAGGAGATCTTGATAGTACTGGGTCGGTGCACACCAGAGTACTAGACTGTTGTTCCTGAAAGTAATTTGGCCTTGGGATCCTTGCATCGGAGTAGGCCAAATAATCCTTTAAGCACAGCGTTTTACAAAAACACAGCAGCTGAGTTGAAAATTTTTAAATTATTACCCTTTAATTTTTTGTTCGGTTTTTGCTGTTTTATATCTGTATTATTTCAGATTTAACCACAGACGCCAACAATCTTAAAGCACCATGGATCCTGCGAGGACTTTTAAAGTGAATTGTCTTAAATTAGAGAACTTTGACGGTTCCAACTTCAACGCATGGCGTCGGAAAGTAATCTTCGGGATGCAACTCCTGAAAATCTACTATGTGGTTTCTGAGGAAAAACCTGACTTTGAAGAAGACTCTGAAGCTGAAGCCTCTTGGGCTAGAGATGATCACTTCTGCAGGAGTTATCTCCTTAATTGCCTGGCCGATCATCTAGCAGATGCTTACACCAACAAGCTCTCTGCAAAGGAAATCTGGAATACTCTGGAGGACCAGTATAAGAATGAGGAGAAGCTGTCCAAATCTCACCCCATTGATAAATTTCTGGACTTGAAGTTCGAAGATGATACTGAGATTTTGCCTCAAGTCAAAGAGCTTGAAAAGCTTGTTATGAAGCTAAAGGATGAAAAAATCAATTTTTGTTAAACCTTTATCTCTGGTGCAATTGTCAACAAGCTTTCTCCATCATGGATGTCATTCTTCACTAACATTCGGAGAAGAAAAAGACAAGTGACTTTGTCTGATCTGAAGAGATTCATTCAGATCGAGGACGAGACTCGAACTCGCACGAAGACTGAGCTCATTGCTAGCAAAAGGCGTCTGCTAACATGGTGGCTGCAAACTTTAAAAAGGGTAATAATTTATCTTTCAAGAAGAAGAAGTCTTTTAATAGAAAGAAGAACCAGAATCCAAAGAACCTGAACGTTCAGAAGGAGTTCAAGAGGAGCGGCAAATGCTTCAACTGTGGAAAGCAAGAATATTTTGCCAAAGACTGCAAAACATCAAAGAAGGAAACAATACACAATGTCAATCAAGTTGATGATTGTGTGGCTATGCTCTTCCAGGTAACAACTCCAAGCAACATCTCTAGTTGGTGATTAGATACGGGTGCTACTTATCATGTATGCTCCAATAGAGATATGTTCTATTCTTATGTTGCTACCAAAGAGAACGTATCAATGGCTGATCGTTCTGTGGTTCCTATTCTTAGAACTGGGACTGTGGTGCTGACTCTTTCTTTGAGAAAGACTCTCACATTGAAGGATGTGAAATACGTTCCCTCAATTGTCAAAAACTTAGTCTCTGGAAGCATGTTGTGTAATGCAGGCATGAGGCTGGATTTTTAAGGAGAAAAGACTGTATTATCCTTCAAGAAAATATATTTTGGCAATGCATATCTTACTGATGGCATGTATAAAATCAGTACGAGTGCACCCAACCCCGTCGTAAATAAAGTATCATCTTCTGCTTACTCCTCTGTGTTATGACATAATAGGCTAGGACATATAAATTATAGAAAATTATCCAGCATGGAGAAGTTAGGATTACTTCCAAAATATGAGGGTAACAAACCTGAGAAGTGTGAAGTTTGCGCGCAAGCAAAGCTGACAAGAAAGTCATTTTCAAATGTCACGAGGAGCACCAACCTGTTAGATCTGATTCATTCAGATACTTGTGACTTCAAGAGCTTCGTCACTCGTGACTATAAGAAATACTTCATCACCTTCATTGACGACTATTCTCGCTTCTGTCACGTTTACCTGTTGAAATCTAAAGATGAAGCCTTCAGCAAGTTTGTCGAGTTTCGGACTCGAGTGGAGAAACAGCTTGGACTATATGTGAAAAGACTCGGGAGCGACAGAGGAGGAGAATACCGGTCTAAGGAGACGAAAGCATACTTCAAGGAGCATGAAATCATTGCTGAAACTACTGCTCCGTATTCTCCGTAATCTAATGGGATTGCAGAAAGAAAAAATCGCACATTAATCGAGATGGTGAATTCGATGCTAATCACATCTGGTCTTCCTACCTGCTATTGGGGTGAGGTTTTACTGATAGCAAACTGTATTCTAAACAGAGTACTCTACTCTAAAACTGATAGTACTCCTCATCAATTATGGTTGGGATATCCAGACCATTTGGATAATCTCAAAGTATGGGGGTGTCTCGCATATATTCGAATTCCAGATATCAGAAGGCCTAAACTCGGACCAAAGGCTAACAAATGTGTGTTTATTGGCTTTACTAAAGATAGCAATGCTTGCAGGTTCCTGGACCGTGGAACCAACTCAATCATTAAAGCTCGGGATGCAGAATTCTTAAGAATAAGTTTATCAAACATAAAGGCTTATTGCTCAAAGATGTAGCAGAGAATGCTAGTACATCAGATACACCAGAGGAGTCAGTTTCGCAAGAAACTAAAAATATCAATGATAAAGGAGTTATCGAGCCATCTTCCAAGCGTATCAGGAGACGAAAAGATTTTGGAGATGACTTCATCACCTATAATGTGGAAGGAGACCCATAGACTTTTCAAGAAGTAATGCAGTCAACAGACGTTCTTCTGTGGAAAAAAGTTATTAATGATGAGATGGATTCATTAATCCAAAATCATATTTAGGAGCCGGTGGATGTACCTGAAGGTGCAATGCCTATTAATTGCAAGTGTATCTTTAAGAAGAAGCTCCGTCCTGATGATACTATTAAAAAGTACAAAGCAAGACTGGTGGCGAAATGATTCTCTCAGAAAAAAGGTATAGATTTCTTTGATATCTATGTACCAATTTGCAGGACCACTACCATTAGAGTGCTTATCGCATGGGCGGCGATTAAAATGTTTGTTATACATCAGATGAATGTGAAGACTGTCTTTCTCAATGGAGATCTCACAGAAGAGATCTACATGGAGAAACCAGAAGAGATCTATATGAAGAAACCAGAAGGACTTGATGCTCCAGCTGGTAAGGTTTGTAAACTTATCAAGTCTTTATATGGACTTAAGCAGGCACCAAAACTCTGACATGAGAAGTTCGATGGGGTTGTTCGTAATAATGGGTATCAAGTCAGTAAATTTGACAAGTGCCTATACATCAAGGTCGCTGAAAGAAAGATGGTGGTCATCTGCCTCTATGTGGATGATATGCTCATCATTGGGAGTGATTTGAAGATAGTAATATCTACCAAGAAATTTCTTTCAGCACAGTTCAGCATGAAGGACCTTGGAACTGTGAACGTGATTCTCAGAATCAAAATCATATACTCTGAAGAGGGTATTGGATTATCTCAATCTCATTATGTCGAGAACATGCTAAGGAAATATGGCTACAACGACTTGCCAGAACTATCAGTATCATACGATTACAACAAGAAGTTTCGATCGAACACTGAAAAACCAGTAGAGCAGCTAAGATACTCAAAGATCATTGGGAGTTTTATGTACGCGATGAGCTACACAAGACCAGATATAGCATTCATTGTAGGAATGCTTAGTAGGTTCATAAGTAATCCTGGAAAGCTTCATTGGGATGTTGTTCAGAGATTGATGAGATACTTGAAAGGAACTACAGGTCTAGGCCTTTTTTATACTGGATATCCGACTGTAATCGAAGGCTATTCAGATGCAAGCTGGTGCTCAGAACCAGATGAGTGCAGATCTACTGGAGGATTTATCTTCACTATGGGTGAAGCTGCCGTCTCGTGAAAGTCTAAGAAGTACACCATGATTGCACAGTCATCGATGGAATTTGAGTTCTTCGCACTCTGCGTTGCAGGAGATGAAGCTGAATGGCTAAGTTGTTTTCTCCGAGACCTTCGATTGACGGAATTACAAGGTGTAATTACTATCTATTGTGATAATCAAGCGACGAGTGCTGTGACAGCGAACTCGTTGTTCAATAGAAAGAAACGGACCATTCGTTTGAAGCATGGCTATTTGAGAGAGCTCATTTGTTAAGGAGTCAACTCTGTGATTAACGTCCGATCTTCAGAGAATGTGGTTGATCCTTTGACTAAGGGTCTGAAAAAGGACATAGTCAAAAGGACGTCTGCTAGAATAGGTCTCAAAATTTTATAAATCTTACAAATACTTACCATGTTTATTAAATTATTAGTTCAAAGCTTATGCTATTAATAGTAAGATAATTGGTTCAAAAGACAAGTAAGATTTGTAAAAGTTGATAGTCTTACAAATACCTATCATTTACATCTAGTTATTAGTTTAAAGCTTATGCTACTAATGACAAGATAAATAGTTCAAAAGTCAAGTAAGATTTATATGTGAAAGAGTTTAAGTTTTCTTGGATTAGTCGATGTCTAAGGCAAGGTTTGGGGGTTGCGTAACGCGCTCCGCAAGGAACGAGGTACTTAATTGATCTTTGATCAACCTCTAATACTATCCTTACCTGGCTGAACTATCCGAGTAAAACTTTAATCTTTTCACCTAGAATCCTATCATGAGAGAGGACGACTCTTAAGCCTTAATGAGTTCAAAACATTTCGGATGCGGGATATTTGATAGGAAACATGCCTAAAGAACTCATCTATGCAT